AGGATGTCTAATTCACTCTTCATCAAACTTGCATATCTCTTCAACAAGAGTAACCTGGCCTTCTCAAGAAACTTATCGTTTCTATAAGGCCATCCTTTTATGTCGCGTCATCTTCTTCCATCAAACCAGCCGTAGATCCAGAAAAAAAAAAACTAGGCGGACAGGGCTGTTGGGCATGATTTCTGAATTCCATTTTTACGCCCAATTCACTCTCCATCAAACTTGTTGGTCTCATGAACCTTCTTCAACACGCTGATCTTCTTGAGAAACTTATTGTTTCTAAAAAGACATCCTCTTCTTATCACTTATTATATTGATTTGACAAATGACACACCTCTATTCAACAACACAGGGTTTTCCTTGTACATGAAATTCGGGAAACTTCTAATATTGAAATGTATGTTATTTTAATTTTTGGTATTATATTTATTATGTTATTTTAATTCTAGGATTTATTGTGATGCGGATTTAGTCAAACATAGAGAAAGAACAGGAGAGCTGAAATTATGTACTACTTTTGTAATTAACAAAATATACTCGTTAGTTTTCAATTTTTTTAGTTTCAAACCATTTTGAACGTAATTTTTACACTGCTTAAAATATCTCGTATGTACCGATATTAGCTTCAATTGAAACATAAGTATCAATACTACGCCTCTAATCTTATAAATGATGAAAAGTTTCAGACTAACTTCTCTGAACATGCCTATCAAGCCATGATAGCTTCTTCTTCATGTAGAAAACCAAGCTTTGGAACCATTTTAAATGTGATTTTTACCCTGCTTACAATGTCTCATATGAGTTGATATTACCCTGAATTGAAAGATAAGTTACAATACTATACTCTAATGTTATAAATTACGAAAATTTTCAGATGAACTACACAGAAAAAGCCCCTTGAATATGCCTATCAAATTATTTTAGCATTTTCTTCATGCACAAAACAAGCTTTGGAACATTTTCAATGCGATTTTTAACCCATTTACAATATCTCATATGCGTCGATATTAACCTCAGCTGAAAGACAAATTTCAATATTACGCCTCTAATCTTATAAATTACAAAAAAAATAGAATAACTACTTGAAAATACCCCTCGAACAAGCCTATAAACGCTTGCGATTTAGGCTAGAAATTTGCATACCTCACGTTTTGTATAACGTGTGGTATGTAAAATAGCACATGCAATAATTTGCCAAAATGTTCAATATCTTGGGAATCTCACATTGTGTATCCATGTTGGAGGAGACTCGCATAGCACAAAACACAAGATGGTTACACGCTTTTTGTAGGACGCCAGCTAAACTTAAGTGTGCATCTTAAGGGATATTTTTCCACACACAAAAAAACTTGTAAGGGGGGTATTCTTAAAAAAATCATTTTTTGGGTTATTAAACTAATAATGCCGCCTACAAAAGTGATACAAGGAAAAAATATTGTTTGTTAACTTTTAGATCATGGTGTACGTACCATACATCAATCATTCATGAATTAAAGATCATTTTCATTCTGAAAAAAGTCACCTTGATTAGAAACACTCTATGTTGAAATAGTTTAAATCTTAAACCTGAAACGAGTAGATTTAAATCAAATCCACATCCACTTGTATCAAAATCTAAATGAGATGCCAAAGAATAATGAATAGTTCCAAGAATCATAAGCAATCTTAATAAATGAGACGTGGAATAATCAACAGGATTAAAGAACAAACCATGTGAAAGTTGTGCATAACAAATTTGGCAGAATCTTTTTTTTTTCATCTTCTTTCGTTTTCTGCTTTTGGGTTTTGTATGGAGAGGTATTCCTTGTGTTCTTTTATTTTTGGTATCTACGAAAGTAGCAATTTGTACAATGGCTTGCACGGACAAATCCACATCTTAGTTCCTATCCTATTTCATATATTTTTATGTGCCATAATCATATATATGTTTATATGAATATTGATATTTTGTTCTTTATATAAATAATTCATGGTGTATATATAAATTTAACATGTTTTTTATGTTTATATTTTAATTATTTCTTTTTTATATCATATAATTGTATTATGTTTAGTTAAAGTTTTGAGATGCTTTGCAGTTCACCAATCCAAAAATCCTAAAAAATTATGCCAGGATCCGTCCTTGCATGCTTGCATTTCTCTTTTATATTTATTCTCTTTTGTGCCTATATAAAAAGTTGACATTCTTTTAGCAAATTGTGGTCCTTATCCCATTTCTCTCACCTTATCATGCTACATCTATTAAATAATAATAATAAACCATGTGTACATAAATAAAAAATTGTCAAATATCTAAATACACGTATGCCATGTAACATATGATTTTAGTCATGTTCAATGTAACCTTATAGTACTTATTATATTATTTTTGTATTTATTAAACGAGTGATATTTCGTATTATGATTAAACGTAGCATGGTTTAATTTGTCTATACATTCAAATGAGTTAATTTCATATGATAGTCAGAATTTGTAAAAAAAATATCCATATGATAGTCACATTGTTTAATTTGAAGAAACGTAAGGAATACGTACCTTTTTATTTTTATTAGCTATTAGTTTCTACTTGAGTTTTTATTTATTTATTTTAATTTTAAGTTTAATTTGTACTAATTCTTCTTTATGTTATAGCAAACTATTTTAAAACTAATACAACAACTAAACATTTTCCTTATATTAATAAGTATATGTCAAATGTGATATGTATGTATGTATGTATGTATGAGTTATACTTTTATATTATAATAAAAAAAACAATATTGTTGATTGAGCATCAGTTAGGCAGTGTTGCTGTTGTTGTAACGTTTAAAAGACTATGAGTTTGAGTGTGTTTAAATCCAATTACCTATAATTTAAGAGTCGAAGAATTATGATAATTTAAGCATAATAATTTATATAAAAAATGATTAAAAAATAAAGCAAATTTCAAATTCTTTTAACTATGATGATGGGATTTGTCGAGAATATATATAAATATTTGAATAGTATATATATATGAATCTTGAGTATTCTAGATAATTAATAAATTCTTTGTTTGTGAATATTTAGAAAGGAATAATGGGAGGTGATGAATTATCTTTATCAGCCATACTGTTCCAGCCAATGAGACACTTCTCTTTGAATGATCTGATCATCCGAAGATTTTGTTCCTTTTAGTTGAAATTTTATTTTATTATGAAAAATATAAAATTATATTTTGAAAGGAATTAAAGAAAATGATAAATTACATCGTTTCTCGTTGAACTTCACTCTCTCTCCTATTTTACTCATCATACTTTCAATTTTTCTATTTTGCTCATTGAACTTTACATATTAAATTACTTTGCTCACTTTGTTGTTAACTCTCTAATAGTGTTATGATATGGCACAAGCATAAAAAAATGTCGTTTTGAAAAACTCAAATATACACCAAAACAACATCGTTTTGAATACTCTTCTTTTCCCCTATTTTTTTCTCTACTTTACAAACAAGGTAACCGGTTGTCGCCGCCGACCATCATGTCATTTTTTATTCTGACCACCATCTACCATCGTTGGTGGTGGTCGTTCGGTCTCAAAATTCATGGGTTGATTCGTCTCAACCCATTGAGTCCAAATCTGGTGGTTGTTTCACAGGAAAAATATCCCAAAGTCCGTGAATCTTGATTCAAATGTTTCAGCTTCCTCACTTTTAATATCTAATTCATGGACTTCGAAGCAAGTTCTAACAGAATGGTAGTCGGCGATGGTATCCGGCCACCTTCTATTTTTATTTTATAGTTGAGTGAGTAGAATATGAGCGACTGTAAAGTTTGGTGAGGTAATGTAATTTACCCTTTATATTTTCAATTATTTTATATTAAATAATAATAAAAATGACACGTCATCACACCGTTAGAGAGTTAACGATAGAGTGAGCAAAATAATTCAAACTGTAAAGTTTAATGGACAAAATAGAAAAAGTGAAAGTATGGTGAGGAAAATAAGAAAGAGAGTAAAGTTTAGTGAAAAACAATGTCATTTACCCTTAAAAATAGAGTGGATGATGTTGAGACCTCACTAGGGCATCTATGTTTTGTTTTCTTCACTTTCTATGTAGTACGGCCACTTTTATTTGAAAAAAAAATGTGCTATTGGACGTGACGAGTGAGACTCAAAAATCTCTTTCACGAAAGAAGTTTCTACGTAATTGTTTTATATGTCTTTTTTTTCATTTTAGGTTTTGATTCAAAAATTTAATGAAATTGTAAGAGTATTTATTTAACAATTTGATTAGTTCAAATAAGTATTTTAAAATAATGTTTAATAAATTACAAATTCAAATTTTAACAATAAATTAATTTCCAATCATCTTTGAGAGTATAACAGAAAACATAGAAAAGAAGAAAATATTAAAAGGTTCCATTTGGATAAATCCAACTACATTAGATGCCTCCATGATAGGAACAACTCCAAATAAAAATCAGACCCTAATATATTAATAATAAGCCAAACTATATATAAAAGTGTTTGAACTTTGGTGATGCATTTCCCTGAAAGTTTTGTGTAAAAAGAAGGTTAACGCTTTAAAGATAATGAATTTTTTTTACCAAAGGTAGGTGACGGTTAGTATCATGGTAATAATGTTTCACCGCACAAAGGATTCCTATTCCGCACAAGGATGGATCAAGGGAAGCGGGTAGGATAGTCATCTCTTAAAAATTTTAAATTATTATATATTTTAAATGTTTTATTAGCATTTTTTATAATTTATTTTCACATCCTTTATAATTTTATAAGTTCATTTCTCTTTACGGTATTAGTCCTTGATTCCGCATGAAATTAAAGATTCGTGATGGTGTTCTTTCTTTTTCCATGGCAAAGGTGAAAAAGCCTTTGATCACTTTCACTTACGATCTAATAGAATAATTCTCAAAAAAAAAAATTCTTTTTCATTTTCTTGCAGACCAAACGCCACATTCCTCAAAAAACCTATATATACTAATGCTTGTTGAGCATTCAAAGCACCTCACAATCTCAACAAACATCCTCTTTCACTTGCAAAACCCTAGCTATCATTCCTTGCTATCTTTTGGCATTGTTTTCAAATGGAGAGAGTGACGAAGTTGGCAGCAGAGAAGCCGGTGGTGATGTTCAGCAAGAGTTCATGTTGCATGTCCCACACCATCAAAACCCTTTTCTATGATTTTGGAGTCTACCCAGCAATACACGAGCTCGACGAGATCCCTAGAGGATGCGAAATCGAACAAGCTCTCGCAAGGCTCGGTTGCAACCCTTCTGTTCCAACCATCTTCATTGGTGGTGAACTTGTTGGTGGAGCCAACGAGATCATGAGTCTTCATCTTAACCGATCCTTAATCCCAATGCTTAGACGAGTAGGGGCCCTCTGGGTTTAATCCAAAACTCCATTAACTTCCAACCCAAGGCACTAATAAAACTAAGCTTATATTTATATAAACAGTCGCATAAATTAGATCCATCAAAGAATAGATTTCAGGTCTAGTTAACAGTACAATGTTTAGAGAACTACTTTACATTATCTTACGAATCAACGAGTCTACTCAGCGAGTGTATAACCTTTTTTTTTGGTTATGTACTAATGTTTTTAGAGTAATAAAACTTGAGAATTACATTAATATATATTTAACCTCGTTCTTATTTGGCAAAAGGGTAATTTATTCCTATAGTAAATTTAATTTATGACTTTCGCCTCTATCGTATTTTTGCATCAATTTAGCTCTCGAAGTTGTTCAAATGCATCATTTTATATTTACCCCTAACTTAAAATCCTAAATTATAAACCTTAAACCCTAAATTATAACCACATAACCTCTAAACTCTAAACTCTAACTTAAGGTTATAATTCAAGGTTTTAAATCAAAGTAGATATAAAATGATACAATTAGACAACATTGGGAACTAAAATGCGAAACTACAATAGGAGCAAAAATAATAAATTAAGTCTACTATAGGATAAAAAGTCGAACCCTTCGACCTTTTCATTTTCTAGAATGAACGAAGAAAACTAATCTAGTTTGTTGGAATTTAATAATTTTCCAACCGAATTTAACAACACAATCTTTTTTATATAAAATACTGCGTTTATATGACATTTTTCTTTTGTAAAAAAAATGAAAGTCGTAAAATACCATTTCTTATTATTTATATTTTAAGTTAATTATTATTTATATTTTAAATAATTTAAGATATTATAAAATAATATAAGTTCAAAAATAAATTTTAATAGTTAACAATAACATATACCTACCTACCGACATTGGTGATGAAACTTAAATTCTCCTTAAAACGTCAGACAAACTACACGGGTGACCACTTAATCATGGTCAAAAATCATTTTGACCACCGATGTTTCAATTTGATCAAACATACCACTTAACTATTTAAATGATTTAATCAAGCCACAAGCCGTTAACTTTTAATGGTAGAAGTGACGTGGTTGATAAAATTTAACTGAGAGAAATACTCCCCAATTAACTTTTTGGTATAATTATATATTTAATCTTTGTTACTTACACAAGATATGAATTTAATCCTAATTTTAATTAAATTCAATAAATTTAATCTTCTAATTTTATTATGAACGATTTTTTTTTAAAATTTTCGCATGGAGAAGAAAAGCTCAACTAAGATTTTACTATTTCTTGTTCATTGTACTCTCTTCTCTTTTTACAACTTTTTCGGTCATCAAACCAAAAAAAAAAAAATACTGCAAAGCTACCAAAGGAAATAAAGAACGAAAATAATGAAGTAATTATTATGAATTTCATATTAATATTATTTGTTGGTATTTTGCAATTTGCATTATCCTCTCACTGTTTTTCTCTTTCACCATTTTTTTCTTCTTTTTCGTCTCTCATATCTTTATTCCTCTCGGTTAACTTTTGCAATTTGTGGGTATAATAAATTTATCGAATATAATAATAAAAGATATTATTAATCCTGACACGTGTAGCAATTTAATTAGAGGATTAAAATCATTGAATTTGATTAAAATTAGGATCAAATTGACATCTTGTGCAAGTAACAAGGACCAAATATATAATTATACCAAAAAGTTAACTGAGAGTCATTCTCTCGGTTAAATTTTAACTACTACATCACTTCTACCTTAAAAATTAACAGTCAGTAGTTTGATTGAACCATTTAAATAGTTGGGTGATATGTTTGATCAAATTAAAATCGATGGTCAAAATGATTTTTAACCATAGTTGAGTGATCACCCGTGTAGTTTACCCTAAAAAACCACTACATTTAAAAAATGTTTTTCAAATAAATTAATTTTTATATTTTTTATTGCAAGACTATCTCGATGATATCATCTTATAATTTAACGGATACACGTGAACCGTTAAACGAAAGATCCCACAACAAAAGTTAAAGTTTAATCTCATATTTTTAATGAATAACACTATATGAAATCTCAAATCTTGAACTATTGTTAAATATTATTATAAGGAGATATTATACCATCCATTTAATGGTAAAATTGTACTTAAAATCCATGTAAATCTAAAAATTGGTTTATATTAAGATAGTTTCGCATGTTAACACGAGATGATTACAAGATATTTATAATGTATGAATCTTTTTGAATAATCTGAGATAATTATAAAGATATTATTTGTTTGAATTTTTTAATAATTAACAATGTATATTATCTTATAGATGTGGTTATTTGAATTTATAAATTTAAATAAAATAATAATTTTTTTAAATTATAAAGGCCGCTTAAGGGTTCTACAATGTATGAACTTTTCTTTTTTGAAAATTACAATGTATGATTTTTTTTAACAATGTAAGAACTTTGTGTGGTATGTAACGGGACATTTTGAAAAAAAAGATTAAAATGGATTTGGGTTGCAAATTTTATGGACAAAATGGGCCAACATTATGATATTAAAACGTATAAAGATGAACGTCACACTGTGTCATGGAAAGTCATAGCAGAGGCAACGATTATGGCGATGGGAGTCGCACGCAAGTCCCGAGAGAGAGATGTTTTTGGATTGTAATGAAACCCACTGCCGCTCGCCATTAATGCCTCCAGGCTCCATCATTGACACTTTACACTAACCAACAAAAATACACTTATTTTCTTAAACATATACAGTCTCCTTTTATTTGTTTGCTTTCTTCTTTTTTGACGCAGAAATTTATTCAAATTTCCATGTTATTTCTCACACTTCTTCAGTCTCTCACAACTGGTAAAAAAAACTGGAAAAATGGGTGGGGTTTGAAGAAAATCTACCCATTCATCTTAATATGTAATTTAATTTTTTATTTTTTTGGGTAAAGTACACAAATAGTCATCCGACTATAAAGTATTACTTAATTAAGTTTATTTACTATTAAAAGTTTTAAAATTATTATCTTTTCTTAAGTCCTTCGACTATTAAAAGTTATAAAATGATCATTCGAATATTCATTATGTTCCAAACTTATCTTTTTTTGTTAAAAAAATAACGATTGTCTAAGTTAGATATTAACATGATGACTGAGATATGATACTTGTTTGAGATTCTATGATTAAATGTTATCATATCATAGTCAGTAAGTTAACGTTCAACTCAAAATGCCGTCAAATTTTTAACAAAAAAATGACGAGTTTGGAACATAATGAATAGTCAGATAACCATTTTGTAACTTTTAATAGTCGAGAGACTCAACAAAACAACACTCTATAGTCGAAGGATAATTTTATAAATACTCTATAATTAGGGGATCATTTGTGCACTTTACCCTTATTTTTTTTGGGTAAAGAACATAAATGATCATTAGATTATAGAAGGTTATTTTGTTAAATTTCTAAATAATTAAAATTTATAAAATAATCATCAGAGTATTCATATTTTATATATTCTAAACTTATATTTTTTATTAAAATATTCACAATCGTCTGAGTTAAATGTTAATCTCCTGATAAAATTTAATCTTAGACCTGTTTGAGCTCTATAATAGTTTGAGATTCAAATATCATATTTCAATCAACAAGTTAACATCCAATTTAAATGACCATTAATTTTTAACAAAAACAATTTAAAACATATAAATAATCACATGACTATTTTATAACTTTATAATAATAAAAAATTAAAAAAACAATGTATTATAATAAAGATATTATTTTATAATTTTAAATAATTAAATTTTTTAATAAAATAATTATTAATAATCTAAAATTCATTTATGTACTTTATGTTATTTTTCTATGACATTATGGTAAGTAGGTAACTACCTCTATTATCCATCGGTTGTTAAGAGGGACCTTCCAAGGCAAATCTTGGCAAAGATCCAAAGGATTCCATGAATCAGACAACACACAAGAAAACAAGACAACCCAGTTCCTCTTTCTCCATCGTCACTATTACAGAAGGTACAGCTCACTTCTTCAATGAAAACTCATTTTCATTATTGAAATTTTAATGTCTTTTATTTCACTTCCAAGCTAATGGAATCAACTGCTTCATCTACCTTCATTTTCTCAACGGCCCATTAATTTTGTTCCATTTCTCTTTCTTTTTTCTTAGTAACCAAACACAAGTTCAAGTTTAAAAGGTCAAATCTTTTTTGTGTCAAGTTAACATAATAACCCATGGTTATGGTAGACTGTAACTCTGTATTTGAAAAAGAACTTCTGGGGTTTTATCATAATATCTGTGTATGCAAGGTTGTTAGATATTTTGTTGTTTTAAGCTGTTTTTGTTGATGATAATGTAGGTGGAAATTTTTAGGGTTTTATTTTCTGGATTTTTTTTTATTGAAAGAGCTTTCCTTTGCCTGGATGAATATGTTTGGCTTTTCTCGTAGACGCATGAAGCTTGGCAGGTCAGTTTCTTCATTTTTCTTGATTTGACATTTTCTATTTTTATGTTTAAATAAATGTTCTTTGTTCCTTTTATGCCAAAGAAGAAAATGTAATCTAAACATTGTGAGAAATTGAGGGGCTTGGTGGATAACTTTTGCAAACTTGATTAAAGAATCCCCAACTCCCACATTTTTTTATGATTGAGAAGCACTTTTTAGTTTTTACAAAATTTTATTAACTTATTTTAGCATATTTCTTTGTTGATTTAGAGTGAAGAAAGTACAGCTTTCGGAGTCTGCCCATGGAATTAGAAGTCCTATGAGACCACCCAAACAAAGCAACAATGCAAATGTGAGGCATTTAACATGTTTGAATCTTGGTTTGGTAATGGTAGTTGTATGTGTTATACGTCACTCGAGCTTTGATATGAATATCGGAAATGGGTATCCGACACTGATATCATTAGATTTTTTGTAAGTTTTTTTCCAAGATGCTTGGTGGCCATGTCCCTATTTTCATGTGGCCGACTGAGTGTTGGACACCGGTGCTCTGAGAAAAATTAAGACTCCGATCAACATAGTGAATATAAGTTGCTAAAGCCTTCAATTCTATTTCAGGTTGAGTCTGCGATGCCTGCTGGTAGTCATTCCGACGAACTTGAATCCCACTGTGCTACTGCCCCAGAGATTAATTCATCAGGGAACTCCGAGAATTGGATGGTGTTGTCAGTTTCCGGTGAAGCACCTGTGCCACGTTTCAATGTAACATATCGTTTGTTTCTGATTTTCAGATGCTTCATATCTTAGGTCTTTATGACTTAATTCAACTTTTGTGTATTGGTTATGATGGAAATGCGGAAATCTTTTTATGATCCCTGAATAGCATGCAGCCACCATTGTTGGGAACAAGATGATAGTGGTTGGTGGTGAATCTGTGAACGGAACTTTAGATGATGTGCAGGTAAATGTAACTTAATAATGTGCAACTTTTTTTTTTTAAATTATGTAGAGTTTAGTTGACATGGTGCAAGGTATTCTGCAAACTGAAACGTATACAAAGTTAATTCATTTATGTTTTAAATGCAGGTTCTTAATTTCAATACTTTTTCTTGGAGCATGGCATCATCAAAGCTTTACTCGTCACCTAGTAATCTTCCACTTAAGATTCCTTCATGCAAAGGCCATAGTCTGGTACCATTATATACGATTGCATTTCATTTTCCCTTATTTTGAATTCGTTATACTTTGTATGCTATGCTAATCACTGTTGTTCATAGATGCATTAAGCTAAAACATTATGTGACATGCAGTACATAGGATCATCCACTTGTATGCAAGAAGTTAATAGAATTCCATGGCACTTCCATTTCTACTAATTATATTTTATTTGAATCTTATGTTTGTAGTTTAATTAATTGGTACGTTCTTGCACAACTTTATTGTTTTATCGTGTTGGGTCATGTTAATTCTATCAAGTGGGATGCAAAGTATCAGGAGTATTGGTGTTCTTGAGGTTTTTCTGTTTCCTTAACCAGGTTTCATGGGGAAAGAAAGCCCTCTTGGTTGGAGGCCGACCCGACCCTGCAAATGACAAACTTTCAGGTTTGAAAATAGAATCTTTTTCTGTAATGTATTGTCACTTTTTTCCGATACGTTCCGGTTCTCAATTCTGTTCTCTTGCAGTATGGTCATTCGATACAGAGACAGAATGCTGGTCAGTTATGGAAGCAAAAGGAGAAATACCGGTACTTCTTTACTACTCGTAAAGGCCAAATTACTCTTAAATGTTGTAAAAAGAAAATGCTACACGAGTAAGGAAAGTAAATTCTACTAGGCAATGCATTCTAAATAGCTTAACACTGGAATGTCATAAAGTTACATGGAAGGGTGCCTTTTTTTCTATGCTGCATCCTTTGTTATTATCGTATTTTGTAGAGAAACTCCGAGTTTTACCCATCTATAGACGTAAGCATTCCTAACAAACATCATGATATCTTCCAGATTGCTCGAAGTGGTCACACTGTGGTTAGGACAAGCTCCGTGTTAATCCTTTTTGGTGGTGAAGATGCTAAAAAGAAGAAACTGAATGACTTACATATGTTTGATTTCAAGTCCTTGACATGGCTCACTCTTCAGTGCACGTATGTCGCTGGCGCATATTCCTTAACGTCTCTTAGTTATGCATCTATGGTCTTTGACTCTTTGTTTTTCTTGAAGTATCTGTTTTCAATGCATAACCAGACATGAGTATGGGGATATGATCTTTCTAGTACTCTCCAAATACTTGAAGGTCTTGAATTTTTTTTTTTTGAATATGCCCGATACTCACACCCAAGTGATAAGTTACATAGGGATTCATCATAAGACTAATTCTTATGCAAGAAGCTTCTGATAAATGCATTGCTCTGCGGAACTGTATAGGGGAACAAGACCATCACCAAGGTCCAATCATGTAGCAACTCTTTATGGTGATAAAACCCTTTTCGTCTTTGGTGGAGCATCAAAGTCCCGGACATTGAATGACTTGTACTCGCTTGACTTTGAAACGGTGAGTAAAAATTCGGATTATGTTACTGGACAGTTGCTTTTTTGTTAGCTTGTAATGGTCTTTCTATAATAACTCTTCCTCAGATGGTATGGTCAAGAATAAAGATATGTGGTTTTCATCCGTCACCAAGAGCTGGTTGCTGCGGTGTTCTGTGCGGAACAAAATGGTACATAGCCGGAGGTGGAAGTAGGAAAAAAAGTATGCATGTACTAGCTCTTGAATTTCATTATTTTCTTTGATGAAAAAGCGTCAGACAGAAATTTAATCACCTCCTTTTCATCCTTCGAAATGGGTAAACATGTAGTTGTTTGATATCATATCGCATTTCCATCTCAAAGCCGATCACTACTACCTTCTTGACCCCATTGTAGTTTGTATGCATTCATACAGATGTCTGCTAGTTCGTGTTAAGTCCTATGTTATTCCGACTCTTCATTTTTTCTCTTTAAGTACCTGTATTTAACACTAGTGTCCGGCACATGTTTGGGTACGGGCATGGGAATATGATATTGCAAGAGCCCTCTAAATTCCAAGTAACATCAGTGTTGACCATATTATTGGCGTTAACATCGGGACATGGCTTCACCTGTGTTTTTATTACGGGATTTCAGTTTTCTACCGCGGGTAGCAAATATTCAAAAGAAAATTAGAGGGCTGATGAACTTACGTAGCCAGTGATAGAGTACCATTTCATAGATGTAATTGCATTGAGCAATGCGTGATGACCATACTATAAATCAAACCTTTGGTTCTCACTATTTCTTAATGTATTATTCCTTTTGCATTTGTTCTCGCTGCACATTTCTTATATTTAAGTTTTTGATTCCAAAATGTTTGCAGGACACACAGAGACTGTTGTCTATGATGTTCTAAAGTCCAAGTGGTCCGTGGCCATTAAGTCACTTCCATCCTCGATCACCACTAGCAAGGTGAACATGATTTTAATACCCTCATACTGCATGATGTTCCCAAGGCCAAGTGGTCTTGCATTACGTCCATCTCTTGATCACCACTAACAAGGTTAACATGCTGTATTTATCCTTTGTAATAAAGGACTGATTCTTTAAATGTTTTGATAACATTGAGCCGAATGATGTAAAATATATATTACCGGAATTCCTGTATGCTTTCATTTCAGAATATAGCAATCTTGATTACTACAATATGTTGTTCTTAAGATGGCTTTCGTTTATATACCATACAACTCCTCAGTGATAAGACATGGAGCACTACTGTTATTAAGATGGTTGTTCTTACAGGGATTTAGCCTAGTACTCGTGCAGAACAAGGATAAGGATTTCCTTGTTGCATTCGGCGGATTTAAAAAAGAGCCATCAAATCAGGTTTGTAGTTTAAATTCATATATTTATAATTACTACAATATTTTGAAATTGTAATTACTTCTTTGTGCATTACACAGGTTGAAGTACTGATCATTGATAAGAATGAATCGTCCATGGAACGGAGATCTACTCTCTGTAAACCTGCAGGACAAATGCATTTTGCAAAGCGTGATTCATCATCTGCAGGGCCTGCTAACCAAACGATTAACAGTTCTTCCCAAAGTTCCGACGATTCTGCTGTGAAACAAAATTTAGCCTCTATAATCGAACACAATTGTAGTCGGAAATCATTGTTGGAGTTGACTTTTCTGGACCAAAATACTCCCGGAAATGTCTCACTGAGGAAGCAATTTAATAACGAGGAAGAACATAATGCAACTGTTAGAATAACAAAGAATCCGGATAATTCAAGTTTTATTCTGCAGGTAATCGTAAAAGCTTCATTCAATGACCTATTGCTTTCAAGATGATTAACATCCTTTTTCCATTGGAATATTTCATTTGCATAACATATTTTTTGTTGTTATAGGCAACGGAAGAAAAAACGAGTCAGTCTGATACAGGAATTCGGATTAGTTCTCCTGGGATGAAAATTAGTTCAGAGTTCGGAACTGAATGTTCAAGTCTGCAGGTTGAAGGGATCTCAAATGATCCCATCAATAACGATAATTTTGTATTCCCGGAAGCTGATGATAAATCAGGAGCATTATCAGCTCCCACAAGCATGTATCAATTTTACGAGACAAGAATGGCTGCCCTAAGTAGAAAAAATGGAATTTTAGAAGTACAGTTGGCGGCTGCATTGACATGCCGAGACACGGCAGAGAGAACTTTAGCCTCGGCTCTCAAGAGCAAAGAGGAGATGAAGAAAAGATTTGAGGACACGATGAAGGAGATGGAACTGCTAAAAGATAAACTAGCTGGTATAGAACTTGCGCATGAGGAGGCTAACAACTTATCGAACATAGTCCACTCGGACAATGTAAGACTTGAACATGATGTGGCGTTCCTTAAGGCTGTTCTAGATGATACACAAAAGGTATTGGTTTTGTCATCTGATGCCAAACTCACCATGGAAACTTGCATTTTCGCATCGCATTTTGAAGAGTGCCTGTTTTGAGATTTATTGTAGGAGCTTCACTCAACGAGAGGAGTCCTTGCAGGGGAGAGGGCCAGAGCATTCCAGTTACAGGTTTACCGCTTTTCCATAAACAGGAAACAAAATAACCGCTGTGTAGAGTGAAGCTTGTGTCAAATGACCGTATAGAGTTGATTGAATTCATGGATTTTGTCTTTTTTCCATATATGCTGCATTTTACCTGCTATTGTGATGTAGGTTGAAGTTTTCCATCTCAAACAAAGGTTGCAATCAATGGAGAACCGAGCGCCGACTCCAAGGAAACCATTCAATGTATAGTATATCAGACCAAATCCAGTACCCGTTATAGTCATCCATGTATCTATTTTCCAAACATGATCGATCCTACGTACGACAAACCATTTGAATAAACAACCGTTGAATCTGCCTGGGATTGAGCCTTTGTCTGCAGAGTGCAGAACTAAGCATGGAGATTTGTCCAGTAGTCTACCTGGTCTGCAGAGTGTGCAGAACTAAGTATGTATATGCATGAATATGTCGCATGTTTCGATGGATGTAATCGCTTTCACCAAATGATGAACACTAAGGATGCAGTTGGAACCTTGCTGCTGCTGAAAGGGCTTTTAGCCTGTTTTTCTTTCAAGCAATGCAAAATCCATGTATCTATTTATTCCATGATCTCTTTAGTACATCATATTCTTGCAAAAGTACTAAGAACATGAATTAATTATTTTCGCTAGGGTTTTTTTTGGCCCAATAGGTAAATCAGGAAAAAGAATTTTGTGATATAGGGCTGTCAGAAAATTATTTTGGGAGCAACGGCATTCTCTACAGAACATGGGAAGTGACGAATTCTGAAGAATATTGTTATTATATTCTGTGTTTATTATTTAATTAATTTCTACAAAATTTGTCACCTGTGTTTGAATATTCTAGTACTTGACTAGAGCTTGCGAGCATAATTAATCATTTTTTATTATTTAGTGTAAATCTTTGTTTGAACTTGGACTTGAGAAGTTGAGGATGAGAATTAAACAATTTTTACTAGGCAGAGGTAAGAGTGTAAAATGAGACATGCTAACAAGCTAGTCAGATTTAAACATCTTAAGATTCAAAATTGTATTTGCAAGAGTACGGGAGTGAAGTAAACAAGCTAAATCCTGTACCTCGAGCTTAGAAAATGATATTTGATTGAGCTCAAGCCGAGTATCGAGCCTTGTGTTTCAAATCTACCTTGAGCTTGAGCATATCACTATTCGAGCTTGGTTAGGCTCAACTACAGCCCCTAGATAAACGAGCTTAATTGAACCAGCTCAAGCAATTTGATCTTTTATTTCAATTCGAGCTCCAACTTAAAAAAGTGAAACTCGGTTACACCTTTGTGATGCAATATTTTTTGATAGATTGAGCATGACACCTATCGATTACTCCCTACCTATTACTATGTTTTTGAATGATCAATGCATGTTATAGTTTTAGTTTTGTTACATTGCTTGTGCTTTGATTGTGTTAGAATTTCTCCTGTTTCATATTCCTTCCCCCTTCAAACAATCGAAGGACCAAATATGTTGAGTTGACAAGAAAAAAAAGAAAATTGAAATTTAAGATACCTGTCATTTCAATGTGCTGTTGTTATCTGAACAATAAGTAAGATGCATGCTTTTGGAAGCCATATTTATGAATAAATTGTGAACTAGCACTTCAACTTTTGGAAGCCAGATTACTAGCTTGCAGTGCCATTTTTGTCTGATATGTGCATTACTAATAATGTTATTCTCGAGTAGGTGGCTGGATTTGGAGCTGAAATTGATAGCAGATGTTGGTATGGTGGGTGCACCAAATGCCGGAAAAAGCACTCTACTAAGTGTGATAAGCTCTGCTCAGCCGGAAATAGCAAATTACCCTTTTACAACGTTGCTTCCCAATCTGGGTGTAGTTTCATTTGATTATGATTCTACCATGGTTGTCGCTGATCTTCCTGGTTTACTTGAAGGAGCACACCGGGGTTTCGGTTTAGGTCATGAGTTCCTACGGCACACCGATAGATGTTCAGCACTGGTATGGACTTCTCCTCATATTGTAATATGCTCTTGAAGACTTCTATTAATTGCTTCTCGTGTGTTATGATAGTTTAAATTCGCAGTTGGCTCCATTAACTATTAAAACTGTTCTCCTGGCTATGTTAGGGTGAAGGAACTGTTTTATAGGCTGATCAGAATCCCGTCTCTTCCTTCCATAGGTACATGTCGTTGATGGCTCTGGACAGCAACCAGAGCTTGAGTTCGATGCGGTTCGTCTTGAACTGGAAATGTTTAGCCCAGAACTAGCTGAAAAGCCATTTATAGTTGCCTATAATAAGATGGACCTTTCAGAGGCATACGAAAATTGGCCATCTTTTAAGGAAAAATTACAAGAACGTGGAATTAAAACTTTTTGCTCGAGTGTAGTAAAAAGAGTAGGAACTCATGAAGTCATCAGTACCGCCTACAAACTTCTTCAAGAAACTAAAAAATCCAACGAGGGATTAGAAGGTTAACTTTATTTTCAGTTAATTCTTTAACTTTATTTTAAGTTAATTCTTTAAATTCCTTATTGACAACATCCTCAATCCTTATATTTTCATATGATTTTCTCATTGTACTCTATGAACTCTAATCCATCCCGTGAATCCATTCCATTCATCATTGACTAGTCCTAGCTGTTCTTTAGGTTTTCAAGATCAGATAGATTTGAACCATGTAGCCGATATGGTACAGAAGCAGCGTAGCTCCTCTATTAGCGAGTTTGAGATCACTCGTGACAGTAGTTGCAGTTCGTGGTATGTAACTGGAGCTGGGTTGCAACGCTTCGTTCAGATGACAAACTGGCGGTATGTTAATAACTCTCATCGTCAATTGCTTGATCTGCTCACTTCTCCTATCTATTTCTCACCATTGTCTTTCTGCCGGCTGTGAGAATGCTGCCATGGAGGCTAAGAATGATGAAAGCTCAAATGAAGGAGGAGGAAACTTAAAGATAGAGATGACAGAATGAAGATTTTATTGATCATTGAAGAAATTACTCTGCCTACAATCTAATATAAGTGTGGCTTATATAGCCCAAGTAACCAACAACTATAACAAACTAATAACAATTAATAACAAGCTAAAAACAAACTCGAACATTCACTCTACTTTTCCACCTTTTAATTTTCTTCAAAATGAACTTGCTATTAGAAAGTTGATCAAACAAAGAGTGCAAACTTAATAAGTTGGAATTCAACCGTCTTGCCGTCTCGATGAACAATTTACCGGATAAATTCTCTTTCACCTAAAACATCTTCTTTCCTCAACTTTCCTCGGCTTTTCTTTTTCTTCTTTTCAAGAGTTGTTTTTCATCTTCACTGTTCTTCCTCTTCACTTATTGGGACTTTGTTTTTGTTGGAAGCAAGGCAGTTAAGCTACGAGCTCCCGGATGCAATCTGAAGCTTCTTTTGGGCAAGAAAACATCCTATTTTGTCTGGTTAAGGAAGACAAGGCTGTTAAACTCTTAACCCTCCCCGGAGATTTTCTTCTATGGTAACTTGGCTGTTAAGCCTCAAAGTTTCATGTTAAACTTTGGAGAAGAAGTAACAAGTGATGAACGATACTCTATGAACACCTTAAGCTGCTGTATGATTGGAGAACCGAACGGAAAAATGCATAACCAGCAAAACAGTAGATGCACCAATTGAACCACTCAATGGTCACCTTAGAATCAAACCATCAACAATTTATAGTAGCAAAATCACAATACGAACGAATAACACGAGCAGTAGTGATCAAAAGCACCAAAAACGTATAAGGCTAGCATTTGAACCCAGATATTGAAGCGAGAAGTAAAATGCCAGTGGCACCACAATTGCATAACCGTAGATTCCAAAAGCTGCTACATTTACATAGCCAACATCAAAGCTCCAAGAAGTAGTGCCATCGGTATGCTTTTTCATAAGGTATGTGGCAAAGTTTCCAAAGGAAGAAAGCACGAAGACCAATGTAGTTGTGATCCAGATATGCCCATACAGATCAAGGTTAGCATCAATCTTGCTGAAAAAATCTCCACCAGTAGGATAAAACGAACTGATCAGCCTGTTTATCATAACATCTGTATCCACGTTAAAATATTGTGTGTAGGATGATATATTAAACACTCCCTTCCAGTTGTTTGGTGGCTGTTGTTCAAGGCTTCCAGTTGGAGCTTCAAGAGTTTGATAACCTCAACCTATACTTCCTCCACTGCCATTATTCGGAAGGGAAATATTGAATATTCGCTTCAGAAACTGCAAATGAGACCTTTTCTTCATTTATAACAGATGGAAGCAACGACCTTCTTGATGAGGTGATACAAATCCTCAAGAATTTCAGGGGCAAGACCGTGGGCCTTAAGGATACACAAGATCTTGCTTCCATAACGCTCTTAACCTGAGCAATACCATGAGAATCACTAAGAATGACACCAATATGAGATGAGGTCAAGCCCTTCTTTGCGAAGTTGCAAATGTTTTCCTCAGCATCTTGAGAAGAGATATTGAGCCAGCTTGGTGGGGTTATCTTATAAGGCAGAGTTGAGGCAGACATACCTTTACCGCGACTGTGAATACGACCCATGGTAACAAAGGATTTTCGATGAAAAAACAAACGGACGGTGAATAGAGAATGACGGTGGTTGAGGATTCGGTTACTGATCGGTGTTTAGAAAGAAAACAACAACAAACTCAAGCGGAATAAAGATGGCCACAAGATCATCGGCGAATGATACCATGTGAGAATGCTGCCATAGAGGCTAAGAATGATAAAAGCTCAAATGAAGGAGGAAACTTAAAGATAGAGAGATGACAGAATGAAGATCTTATTGATCATTGAAGAAAGTACTCTGCCTACAATCTAATATAAGTGTGGCTTATATAGCCCAAGAAACCAACAACTATAACAAACTAATAACAACTAATAACAAGCTAATAACAAACCATAACAAACTCTAACACCGGCTGTATGCTTTCCTAGTTTATCATGTTTGTGTCACTTCGGTGGTACTGCTGAGCCTGTTCTTCCTTATTTTAGCTTGTAAATTGTGTGATATATGATATTGGATAGGTTTCATGCTGCATTAAAACTGTATTTGGCTCGTCAATCATGCAACTAGTCAGATAAATTTCCCCTTTCTTTAAAGGAGGATACGATGAAGTTTGGCTTTTGTCTGAAACGAATTTTTAAGCAGACTCTCAGGTTCCAAAGCATCACTTTAGACTGTAATGTAAATACAATACCTAGGATTAAATACCGTGGATTGTAGTCATCTGTTTTGCCCTTAATTAGCACTTGGAAGATGAATATTCTATCATCTAGTATTTTTTTCTGGTTCCTTTTCTTCAAGTTTCTGGATGAAGAAAGGGTGCTGGAAAACCGGATAATTACTTTTAGTGCAATGCGGAGGATAAATTTTGAATGTTTCAACTCAATATGCAGAACTTTTATGACAAACATTTTCCTGTAATTAATTGAGTGATTTAAACTATAGTTTCCTTGTGCACCAGGGTTATATAAATCCAGTCCAAAACACACTGATTTATTTCCTCTGGCCTCACCAATTGCTCAGTGATTCATGTAATCTAGATTAACATGCATTTCTTGTAATGGTGCATGCTCATTATATAACTTTATGAATCATTGTG